CCTTTAATCCCAGCACTTGGAAGGCAGAGGCAGGCGGATCTCTGTGAGTTTGAGGCCAGTCTGGTCTACAGAGAGTTCCAGGACAGCTAGGGCTACACAGAGAAACCCTGTCTTGAAAAAAAAAAAAAAAAAAAAAAACTAGGGCTGGAGAAATGGCTTAGAGGTTAAGAGTACTGACTACTCTTCCAGAGGTCCTGAGTTCAATTCCCAGCAACCACATGGTGGCTCACAACCACCTGTAATAAGGTCTGGTGCCCTCTTCTGGTCATACATGCTGTATACATAATAAATAAATAAATCTTAAAAAAAAAAACTAAATAAATAAATAAATAAAAACCCAAACCTACTGTTATGAATTGCACCACTCTTTAAAAGGAGTAGGAAAATATTTATGTTCATCTAAATGGTTACCTTTTTTTCAGTGCTGGGAGTCAAACCCAGGGCTTCAAGCATGCTAAACCCATACGGGGGTTACATCCCATGCCAGAAATTGCTCAAACAGGAATAACAACAACAAAAACTACAAACAATTATATCACTAAGCATAGAGTACTAGGTGGAAGGGTGGTCCAAAAGGAAGAAATGGACCTAGAAATAATGAAAATGTGAAGCTGAGGAGGAAGGAAGGATGAGGGGATGTCTGAGCTGGAGAAAATATGCCACCCCCCAGGCCTGAGATAGGAAACCATTTGTATACACACTGTCCTTCCTCACTGAGACTTGGACCCTTTGCTGGGACTGAAGTTGTTCTAAAGGCCCAACAGGACAGAGGTCACCCAAAGATGAGGCTGAGTCCCACACACTCACCTCCCCCTGTCCTTGGGGCAATCTTGGGGCCGACTCACGCTGCTGGCACCTTTTCCTCCATTCCGTAAGTCGAGAGAGAAGGCTCTTAAAAGAAAACAAAAGAGGTCTCCTTGCAAATGTCCTCCAGTGGGCCCTTTTCATCAAGCCCGGAGCCATGCCCTGGTCCCTCCATCACCTCATGGCAGCCCTGTCTTCAGTGCAGGACTTCAGGCTGGTGTCCACCCTCTGGGCACACCAGCCTCACTGGGCCAGAAGCCTTTGTGCCAGCTGCTCCAGTTCTGAACAGGATGCCTGTCACCTCGCTCAGTGAAAGCAGGTAAGTGAGATGATAGACCCACCCCACAGGCTGCAGGACAGCCTTCAGGAACGTCTCAGGAACGTCAGAAAGAAACTGGGATGCAGTGAGGGAGGGGTGAGGATTGGTGGCCTTCTAATGCACACAGATTCACCTCACAGGTTCTTGGCCTTAGCAGTTTCCCCAGATGTAAGTAAGTTGTATTGTTTTGTTAGGCATTCTCTCCCCCTCTCCCTCCCCCTCTTCCTCCCTCCTCTCTCTCTCTCATTCTCTTCTCCCTCCTCCTATCTATCTATCTGTCTATCTATCTATCTATCTATCTATCTATCTATCTATCTATCTATCTATCTCCCTCTTTTCTGGGACATTTCATGGTAAACTATCTCAAGTGACAGGAAAATAAACTCCTAGGATTCTTTTTTTTTTTTTTTTTTTTTTTTTTTAGTAGATCAAGAAGTATTTTTTCTTATCATATTTCCTTTTTATTTATTCTTATTTAAAAATATTTTATCCCTTTTTAAAATTTTTATTTATTTATTTTTCTATTATCAGCTTGATACAGTACAAATTCTTATCCTAATAGTGAACTGTTTCACTGTCATCACAAAGAATGAGGCAGAATTTGAAAATGTTGATGGAAGAAAACAACATGTCAGCAGAGCATGATACGGGAGCTCATAGAGAAGAACCAGCAGCTTACAAGTGAACTTCAGCTAGAACAGAACCCAGTGGCACACCGGGAACATCGAGCCTTTTTATGTACCAACCACAGATCCCCCTCTCATCCCTCCTCTTGCCCCC